TAAACAAAATGGCTTCCTTGTCCATATAAAATAAAGATAAAGAGAAACGGCTTTAAGTAACGCTACAATTGAATTCCAGCACCAAACAGTTTCCATTCTCTGTACTGAAGACGAGTATAAATTGAGTTAATTTAAAGTAAGATTTTATTTTGAAGGTAAAAGCATACATTCTGTGATACGGAAAGTATACCTTTGCTCTAATTCTCTTCCTTTTTCTTAGAATTAAGGCAGATTATATTTCTTTTACTTACGAAAGCAACTTTGTATAAATCATACCTATTTTTGTGTTACATTGTTTCAAGACTAGTACAAACTGACTTTTTTATATATTCTCCAACATAAGCCAAAAGCAATATCCTTTGTATTAAATTTATTAAAAAAAATCGGAAAAAGTGGAATGATGTTCAATTTAAAAAAAAATAGTAATAGACCCTTAAAAGTCGGGAAAAAGCGATCGCTTTCATCAAATCTTTTATAAAAGCACACAAATGCGGGGAAAGATTCAATTTAATGAAGTCTCAAAAGCTTTTGTCCGGTCCTTTATGTGCGCCTTGGGCGTCCTTACGTCCACTAATTCAGTTAACACGTTTGAAGGCCTTTCATTTATGATCCTTCCTGTAATTGACAGATATTAAATTTAATATTTTTTACAATATTATGGTACCTTTGAACCTCAACCACATAATAAAAGCAAAAAGATAGGGTCATAGCACGAAAATTTGCATTTTTATGTCAAATTTTGATGATGTCGCTAAGAATACTTTGTCGAAACTTTTGAGCTAGTCTATAGCAGTCTTTACAAGTAAGAATTAAAGTTTTGTAACGATATTCAAAATTGTTACAATATAGGTATATAAAATAAAAATATATTCACGGAAACGATTCACTCTGCCGTCGACATTTGCACAAATTGGATGTTGCGGTGACGTATAAAAATGGCCGCTGGATTGTGCCGTCTTTTCATATTTCAATGTCATCAGCCCCCAGATATGATGGAGTGTTGCGGACTGACTTCATTACCTCCCAACGTTGCCTTTGAAATGATTTGAACAGAAGCGACAACCGAGAATTTAGACTTTAGCTTTGATTCTTATTAGCGTATCTGGAAGTGGACACACTACTCGATTTTTAGTAATGCAACTAAATAAATAAATGGGCCTCGAAATAATTGACGATCGATAGTTTGTGTGATGGTTTAATCAAAGGTGTGCGCCCGCTCCAAACTTTATGATAAAAACTGCTAGAGAAATGTTCTTGTAAGGCCAACGTGAGTCAGGAAAAGAATTGTGGTGCGGTGAAATTTTTAGTTAGGAAGAATAATTTTCAATGCTAAGTTGTTAATCTACACAGTTTACACCATATCATTTATGAGACCAAAGCTTGCGGAGTACAAACTTTTTTTTCGTGTTTTTATTATCTAGGAAACAACTCCTTAACTTTAAACTTTTTTATTTATTTATTTAAATCATGTAAGATGTTTTTTTTTTATAATATGCAGTGGCAAACGAGCAAGCGGCCACCTGAATCCACCGAAATGGAAAGCGACTGTTGTCCATAAACATCTGCAATTGCAGATGCGTTGCCTACCCTTAATTGACGGAGGCGGTGACCCACAAAAAGACATTTCCCCTTCTCCTATATGTCTTCTCCACCGTCAAATCCACTTTTCCTTCCCATCCTTTCCTCTTAAGAAAAGGGCGGAAAGGGAAAGGGACTAAAATTAGCTTCCGACACCACAATCATCAGACGAAACGCGGAATTGTTTCCACTTCACGCCTGTTTTCTGTGTGGTCGTGCTATTACACCGGGCGAGCCGGCCTATTCGTGCGAAGATGTTAAAGCGGGCTTTACCACTGTCAAACCACTGTCTTTATATTTATCCAGACAATTCTAGAAGTAATCATAACTGGCATAAAACACAGATATGTATTGTTCTTATAGTTAATCTGAAAAATAATGGATTCGCTCTTAAAATTAATTGCCGGTCGACATAAAACTGTAGAGGGAGTTAATTGCTACCCGGAGCTGAATATGTATGAGATGGATCGATTTCAAGCATTTACATAACGAATGTTTTAGTGTTTTTGTATTGTACTATGATACTTTTGTCTGTAGTTATATTTGTATCGAGAAATTGTAACTGTTTTTTAAGTAAGTAAAGAGATAAGTAACTTTTTAAATGCATTATTTAGATTAATAAATGTTTTTCAGAAGACATATCCAGAACGGTTTAATATATCTTGATTAAATTTGGCATAGAGGTAGAACATAGTCTAAAAGAATATATAGGGTGCCTAGAATCCAGGAGATGTGTACGGTTCCCGTGAGTAAGGATAGGTTCTCATATTTTTCTATAACTCCGATACATTTAAACTCATCTTGTTCTAAGGCACATAGTTTTTTATGTAACTCTACGCAGAAATAGTCACGCGACAAAACTAGTGATGTCATAAAAAAATGAATATACTATGGTGAAAAATTACCGTATTTGTATATCGTTATCTCTGTTCTTCCAAGCAGTATGAGAGCGATGGCAATACGTAGCCAGATTCAGTAATAAAACACACTTCAAACCACTTCTTCATACGTAATTTGTATATCAATATGACCATTCTCTACTGTATTGTCGTATGTCATTGTTCCCAATATTATTGTGAAAAGCACAATCAAACAATAATGAAATGTTCTGCGTCGATACTTGTGATTGGACAATACCTCCTTCACAATATTATAAATCACGGCAGCAAAAGCATGGGTTTTTATTTTTGACCGACTTCCCAAAAGAAGGAGGTATTCAATTCGTCGATGTTTTTTTTTTATATATAAAATCAAGAGGGCATTTAAAAGTTATGTTGCTTTCAAATTATAATCTAACTAGTATTATTACAAAGTTACGACAGATTGTGATATAAATTTAATTGCAAGATACTTTGTTTTAACTACTCGAGCATGAAATTTAGAGGATTAACTAAGTTTGTTGCATAAGTAACTCAAGTAACAGCGTTTCATTCCATCTTAAGTACATGTTGAGTTATTTAATCATTTTCATCAAGCTGGAGGCGTAAAAAACTTATTGAGCCCAGTCCCACCACTGGCTGATAGAGGCTCAGATAGTTGAAAAATGTTAATCAGAGAAGGGAACAAAATACGATATTTCGTTCTTATAATCTCATTCGATTGTTAGACAATTTACAATTTGGTGAGACAGGCCCTTAATCTTACTAATATTATAATTGCGAAAATTTGAACGGATGTCTGTATTGATGAAATTTGACTAAGATTGTACCTAACTTTAAAGAACACATACTTACTAAGTTTTTCTTTCGTGCAGACGGAGTCGCGGGGGTAAGGTAGTTGCAAAATAAAACTACAAATAAAAAATATAAAGGACAATTTATTACATGTTTGGTACAGTGATATACTAAAACATTTGAAATGACATTAATGTAATTCAATACAATTGCTTTTGACGTTTGTGAAGAAAAAAAATCACTGAACTTGCAATAATTTAGATTGTTTAATATTATTTATATTGTTGTAAATGCCATTTCAAATTACTAACATCTATAAAGCTTTCTTCGGTGAGATAAAACACTAATTAGTGTATCAACACTTACTAATTGTACTGGAATAAAACACCGTTAAATAAAAATAGTACCCGTATTTTACATGGTTTAGGCCCTGTCGCACCTAATTGTAAATTGTCTAACAATCCAACGTGTAATGTGATGGAAATATCTGATTTTGTTACCTTATCTGACAGTTTAAAGCTATCTGAGCCACTATCAGCCAGTGGTGGGACAGGCCCTAATTCTGGTTCTTATCTATGATCGTTGAAGCTAAATTTAATCTATTTTATTTATCATTTTCATATAATAAACTTTGGTCATGTGATATTTACATAGCAAACAACTGTGTCAAATAAAACTAATCATGCAAGGTTTATACCAATTTGTAAGCATAACTGTAAAAGGACCAAATTATATAAATCCAACTATACATATTTCTGGTTCAAATTGCAATTAGTGTTTAGAGAATGCGCACACCTTTGACCAAACTATCGCACAACTGTTTAGTCCCGCTTCAATTTTTATGAGCTTATAGGAAGGTACACTTCTTGATTTTTAATTGTGCAACTAAACAATCGACTATCGCACAACAGTTTTGCGATAGTTTAGTCAAAGGTCTTCTCTAATAGGATTCTATTAAATGCAAATTGTCACTTATTTTGCAATAAATAAGTTATGTACTTTGTTTTACTGAGATTTTAAAACTATAAAAATAATACTGTCTGCAAGCGATATAACTAAATTTATTACGTCTCACTACAACTTAATATCATTCACTTAGTAAGTTTGTTACAAATCTTAAATTACATTTAAATAAGTTAAATCCACCAGCAATTGATAGGTAAATGTCATTAATTTATCGAATATCTTATAGACATCTTTAAAACTATCAATTACTAGTCATAAGCTGGTTTTAGGCATTTTATCCTAAAAAGTATACAAATGTTGAAAATAATTTTACAATATTTTATTAAAATAATACAATTAAATAGCTGTATGTCGGTGTTTATTAAATTTGTAAAACTAAAAAGAGAACATTTTGAATATTTAAGAACATTGCTGAAGGTAGACCAAGAAATAAGGTCATTTAACTTGCTGCTAAGAAACTTAATCGTTTAATTATCGAAGGAATAACTGGCAATATTTCTTCTTCTTTCTTTCTTCTTCTCGACGGATTTTGATGAACAGAAAATTCATATATAAAAATGTATGGACATTCAACCAAATTTGTATTAGTCAAAATATTTTACTATCATTGAGGGATTGTCCCAAAAAATTGTAAATTGTCTAACAATCCAACGCGTATGTGATGGAAATATCAGATTTTGTTTCCTTATCTGACAGTGACGTCATAAGCTATCTGAGCCTTTATCAGCTAGTGGTGGGACAAGCCCTTAAAGTTATTTTATTATAAAAACATAGGCTATTTTTTTTATTCTCGAGTGCGAAGTCGTGGGTAACAGCTAGTTATAAATATATTTATAGATATGCTGATTTTGTAGAAGTAACGAAAGCAGTTCTTTGATTAGAGAATTGTTAAGTCCTTCAAAATGCATTCAAGTACAACTTCAACTTGGGTCCTATTTATTCCCTGAAAACTGAACTACTGAATTTTCATAAAGTAAACCTATTTCTACCACATTGGTGCATTTACAGTAGGAAGAATATATTTAATACACAATTTGCTCACGGGTCTGTCTGTGTTTCCATATCACCAACGTTACTGGTGAGGTCAGTTTCTTGATGTTCCATGTCACTGCGACAGGAATCTGTATCCACTGGAAAGGAAATGATTCCATAAAAAATATTCTAGGTTAGAAATTATATCCTAGTTAGTAATTTATTTTGAATTTCAACTACAGTTTTTAATTGACATAATTGTTAATTAGATAACTTAAAGATTTATTTATGAGTTTATTACAAAAATATTGTGGTCGAACGCCTGATTTCTACAATAAGATCTAGGCTCTTCCGTCTTAGTGCTAGTTTAGTACATACAGTTACCTTATACAGTTATCTACATTATAAATGCGAAAATTTTGATGGATGGATGTTGGTTAGAGTTTGTAGCCTAAACGGCTGAACAGATTTTTATGAAATTTGATACAGATATAGCGGATAGTCTGGAAGGCATAGACATAGGCTACTTTTTTTAATTCTACGCAGACGGAGTCGCGAGTGAAAGCTAGTATAAATCTAAAGTAAAATACTAATATTATGAAGAAAAAAGATTTTGTAATTTTGTATGTATAGAAATAACTTAAAAACTACTAGGTCGATTACAAAAATTCTTTCACCAATAAAAAGCTATACTAATCATACTATTATTATAAATGCGAAAGTTTAGATGGATGGATGGATGTTTGTGAGAATTTGTAGTCTAAACGTCTGAACGGATTTCGATGAAATTTGATACAGATGTAGAGGATAGTCTGGAAGAACACATAGGCTACTCACTTTTGTTTTTTTTAATTGCACACGGACGGAGTTGCGGGC